GACGGGTTGGTAACCCAAAACACATTGGAAGGGTGTTAGGTTAGTGGAGGAGTGGTGGAGAGAGTTCTGAGCGTATTCTGCCCATGGCAGGAACACAAACCACTCCCCCGGCCAGTCCTGACAGTAGGTCCGCAGGAACCTACCCACATCTTGATTCACCCTTTCCACCTGCCCATTACTCTCAGGTTGAAATCCAGAGGTCAGGCTGACCGAGACGCCCAGACATTCCATGAACGCCTTCCAGACTCTAGACGTGAACTGGGGACCTCGGTCGGACATTTTATCCTCTGGTACCCCGTAGTGCCGGAAGACGTGAGTAAACAGAGCCTCCGCAGTTTGTAGGGCCGTGGGGAGACCGGGCAGAGGAAGGAGGCGGCAGGACTTCGAAAAGCGATCCACAACGACCAGGAGAGTGGTGTTACCTTGGGAGAGGGGAAGATCAGTAAGAAAATCAATACTAAGGTGAGACCATGGTCGTTGTGGAACTGGTAAAGGTTATAGCTTACCCGCTGGGAGGTGCCTAGGTGCCTTACTCTGGGCGCACACTGAGCAGGAGGAAACATACACTTAGCCAAGGTAGGGCACCAGTTCTTCTCTGTCAGGCAGCGCATTGTACGACCGATACCTGGATGACCAGAGGATGGTGTCATGTGTGCCCAGTAGATCAGACAATCACGCATAAGCGTAGGCCATACTGCAGCCCAGCTGGACACTGCGGTGGAGATGGATCTGTGCGTAATGCCTGCGCTATATACGCGTCCATCGCCCATACTACCGGCGCCACAATGCATGAGGCCGGGAGTATGGGGGTGTTGTCTCTGGGTCTCTCCTCTGTGTCATACAGCCGAGACAGTGCGTCTGCCTTCACGTTCTTCGTATCCGGAATATATGAGAGTGTGAAATCAAACCGGGTGAAGAAGAGGGCCTACCTGGCCTGGCGAGGATTCAGCCTACTCGCTGCCCGAATGTACTCCAGGTTACGGTTGTCTGTCCAGACAAGGAAAGGGTGTTTCACCCCTTCGAGCCAATGCCTCCACACCGTCAAAGCTCGGACAACAGCCAGCAGCTCCCGATCACCAACGCCGTAGTTCTGCTCCGCCGAGCTGAGCTTCTTCGAAAAGAAGGCACAGCTTGGGTGGCGTGCCCGAGCATTGGGATAAGACAGCGCCTATCCCTACCTCGGACGCATCCACCTCCACTACGAACGGTAGTGATGGATCGGGGTGAGCCAGTACCGGGGCTGAGGTGAACAGACCCCGCAATCTACTGAAGGCCAAATCAGCCTCAGCAGACCAGCGGAGCTGGGACGGCCCACCCTTCAACAAGGAGGTAATGGGAGCTGCGACCTTGCCAAAGCCCCGAATAAACCTCCGATAGTAGTTGGCAAAGCCAAGGAAGCGCTGCACCTCCTTCACCATGGTTGGAGTCGGCCAATTACGTATGGCTGAAATGCGATCTCCCTCCATCTCCACACCTGTGGTAGTAATGCGGTGTCTGAGGAAGGAGATTGACTGCTGGAAAAACTCACACTTCTCTGCCTTGGCATAAAGATCATTCTCCAGCAGTCGGACCAGTACCTTGCGAACCAGGGACACATGCTCGGCGCGCGTAGCGGAATACACCAGGATGTCATCGATGTAGACCACCACACCGCGACCAAGCATGTCCCGAAACACCTCGTTCACAAAGGACTGGAAAACGGATGGAGCATTCATCGAAACGTAGGGCATCACCACTGTCAAGTACTCTGATGGGGAGTGGAATGGATAGGGGAACCAATGAAATGCCTTGACGACGTGCAAATGCCCTGTCAATAAAGTTCCCAGCTGCGCCTGAATCGACTAGCGCCTTACACTGGGAAACTACCAGGTGATCGGGAAAGGAGATAGATAAGGTACAGTGCGCCGCAAAGGGCCCCTACCAGGACGTCCTCTGGCTGCTAGCAGATTGTCCAGCCGGATGGCCATGTCCACCAGTTGGGAGAACGATAGCATGGCATCACGGCAGGCTAGCTCCCTTCGGACGTCCTCCCTTAGGTGGCACCCGAAATGGTCGATCAGGGCCCGCTCGTTCCACCCAGACCACGCTGCCAGCGTCCGGAACTCCAGCACATAGTCCTGTGCGGTCCTCGTCCCCTGCCTCAGATGGACCAGTCGTTCGCCCGCCTCTCGACCCTCAGGCGGGTGATCGAAAACGGCCCGAAAGAAGCGAGCAAACTCCCTGTAGTCCTCCAACGCGGCACCTCCCTCGTTCCACACCGTGTCCAACTAGAGCTGTATTTCTCCAGGGCTCTCCCACAAATGCAGGAAACAAGGACGGATACCTTCTCCCACTCCAGTGGCGCCGGCCTGATGCTGGAGAAATACAGCTCTAGTTGGAGCTGTATCCCTTACATTGCGCTGCCGTCCCATCAAACGCCGGTGGCCGGGATATCTGGATCCCTCCAGGGGCTGGGGTGTAGGTGGCTGGATCCGGTTGACCAGCTGGTCTCGATAGATCGGGTCCTCTCCTCTCCAGGCGTTGTACTACCTGAAGAACCCGATCCATCGCTTCCCCCAAGCTAGCCAGCATCGAGGAATGCTCCTGGACCCTTGCCACAACTCCAGGCATGCGGTCTTCTCCGGTAAAACACCGAAGTCCAGAGTTTATTCCGTTTACATAAATAAAACGCACCCAGCGTCAAAACAAATCTATTACAAGGGAAATATTCCACCTTGGCAATAACAAATGGAAGACTCGCTCTCACAATGAAACAATCACTCACAAAGACAAGGGGAACAGAGGGTACACTTATACACATACTAATTAGGGGAATGAGCACCAGGTGTGTGTGATTGACAAGACAAGACATGACAAGTGGAGTGATGAGAATGGGATCGGCAGTAGCTAGTAAGCCGGTGACGATGAACGCCGAAACCTGCCCGAACAAGGATGGGAGGCAGCCTCGGCAGAAGTCGTGACACTGGGCTTGTGCCCTTTGTGCCCGGTCGGTAATTTGGCCATGATTACTACATGTTAAGATAGCTGGCTAGACTAATTTACCAATCAAATTTTTTTTAGCTGACATGGGCTAATCGACAACTGCTGATGCACAACCAAATTTCGAAATTGTACCTTGTGTATTCTACTATTCTAACTCTCAACAGTAAGTAGAGTCCCCGACTGAGTTCCTAAAAAACATATTTTTTTGTTTAGCTTTTTTGTCAGCCCCCTAGGGACCAAATTATTTTGTTTATACCTTGGGCCGGCCCTGTCCGCTCCTAATTACATCACATAACCAAGCAACACAAACTAATTATTCCAGGAAAGCCTTTAAGAGCAATCATCAGACCCATTAATTGTAGCTGTTAGAATTTCTGATAGTCAGCATGATTTAATTGCACTCAATTATGGCATATTAGTACAACCCTCCCTCTCTCCACCTGCTCTCCCCACCTCCAATCCATCTCATTTAAATGTTTCAACTTGTATTCAGGCAATCTCCCAGTTTTGATAATGACAGAGCCCAAAGCCCCCGTAAATTAATGTACATACTGAGATATACAAATCACTGTTTAGAGTATTTGTTTTTCTAAATCAATTTCTTAAAGAAACAAGTAAGTGTGCACATGCTCTGCTCAGCTGGGTCCTTGTTGCAGATGGTCTCATTGCTATGCATAGAAAACCCAGCTTTAGATTTGCATTCGGTCAATTTTCCCTTTAAATCGGACATCTGTCTGTGTTAGAAAGTAATCTTCCCATACCTGTAGACACATCTTGGATTTTAATTAATTGTGTCGAAGCATCAATAAAAAAGAATGGAAATGCTGGCGATGGGCCTGCTAAAGTTGTGGTTGTCTTTCCCTCTTTCTCACACCCACCCTCTCTTTTGCTTTGTCTCGCTCACTCTGTCTCGCTCACTCTCTCTCACACACTCACTCTCTTTCTCTCCCCCTCTCCTTCTCCATTTCAAAGTAACTCAAACCTCAATGTTGAGTGAAACTTTAAATGAACATCTTGTGATTATCATATAATGAATAACTGCTACTTATGTAATGGTTAAATAAGGTTGGTCATGGTTCTGGTGTCTCAATGCTTTGAAGGATACAGACCTTTTGACACAGTTCCGTTTCTTTTCTTTTTCTTTCTCATGTCTCACCCTTCCCTCCGTTTTCCCAGTGACCTTAAAGTAGGTGTTAAAGAAAAGCCAATTTTTCTGCCCACAGAGGGAAAGGAAAAGTGTGTCCTTTCTGCTGGATGTAGAACCATAGGTACTCATTAATCTACACTGGTGATGTGGTTACTTTTAAGGAGCCACTGTGTTGGTAGGGGAGAACAATTTATAAGTGACATGGAGGGAGATGTTTGTCTTGGGAGGGTGGCAGAGGAACCTTGATATACGGGAGCTTTAAATCTGCCTTTTGTCAATGATGATTGAGCTGTGATTGTGAACAATCTAACCGCACACTCAGAGGAGAACAGAGATCCTGTGTCTTCCTGGATTGTCAGCGTGAATCTAGTGATTTATATTCTTTCTTCAAGTTTTTTCTTCACGTCTCCACATTATCTCCCCTGTGTCAGATGACAGGGCTTTTGGGTTGCATCGCTACTGTATGTCATCACTTTCTCTGAGTAGACAAACCTACTCTGCACCCTTAAGCTTCATGTACCATACTTTTTGGATATAACATCATGTGGCCTGTGAGTTTTCATATAACAGACTATACAGAATATGTCATAATGCACAACCTTGGTGTTGCGTCATACATCAAACAACTGAACTACTGTATCTAGACTACTTGTAATGTTTGTAGATGTGAACATTTAAACGTGTCTAAATAAGGTATAATATATTTAGTCCTGTGGAAGTGCAGATGGGAGGAAGTAAGTGAGTGTACTATTAGTTGTTAATCTCATTCCATATGACATTCAACTCTGCATCCCTGCATTTTTAATGACTTTAGTGGCTCTCTCTCACAGTGTAGTGGATTTTTGCCATGTGCCTCTGTCTTTCCCTTTAGGTGACCGAAACAAGGACGGGCCCTCTTGGATGCAGTAACTATGACAACCTGGACTCAGTCAGCTCTGTTCTGGTTCAAAGCCCTGAAAACAAGATTCATCTGCAAGGTCGGCCATCCAGAATTGAACACACCCAGACATTCTGATGGAATTGTCACGGTTTCTATTTTCTGCCAAGCATTATACAAGAGGCACCAGAGTGTCAGAAGGAATTTAGCTTCAATCCGTCTTTCAGTGTGGCATTGGAAACCAAACCACTGGATTCCTAAGCGAATCACAGGGATTTGTAGACATGTATGAACAAGCCAGTGGAAATTAATCTATAAAGTGACTAGAAACTACCTCCTCTTCTGTCCTATAGTCATTTACAGTAGAAATGCTATAGGCTATATTTACTACAGTATTTGAGAGTCTAGTTTATATTATTACAGTAATTTGTCTTGTAGTTTACCAAGTATTGTCATATACTGTATAAAAAGTACCATATCCTCTGTTCTGCCAGGTCTCCAGACCATCCTACCAGCGTACCTGAGGGCTAGGTTCGTCCAGGCGGCTCTGAACTACATCGGCTGTAATGAGGAGGGTCAGTTTGTGTGCCGGGACAATGACTGTTGGTGCCGCTGCAGCCCAGGCTTCCCCCAGTGTAACTGCCCCAACGTGGACCTGAGGGCCATGGAGGCCAGCCTAGTGCACATCAGGGACACCTGGAACATGGCTAACCAGGACTTTGAGGAGTCAGGTAGGGAGCATGAGATTGACGATACACTCACCGAGTATAGAAAGAGTTTGTAACATTAAAGATACTTGCACACAGAGCCAAGTACTGTAGGTAGACGACAGAACATTACACAACACAGAGATCAATGTGACGTCTGCTGTCTGCCTTTGACAGAAGATATGGGTTCACGTCTACACTGAGTGTTTAAAACATTAGAAACACCTTCATAATATTGAGTTGCCCTCAGAACAGCTTCAATTCATCGGGGCATGTACTCTACAAGGTGTCAAAAGCATTCCACAGGGATGCTGGCCCATGTTGACTCCAATGCTTTCCCAAGTGGCGCAGCGGTCTAAGGCACTGCATCTCAGTGCTTGAGGCGTCACTACACACCCCCTGGTTCGATTCTAGGCTGTATCACAACCGGATGTGATTGGGAGTCCCATAGGGCAGCGCACAATTGGCCCAGTGTCGTCCGGGTTTGGCCGTCATTGTAAATAAGAATTTCTTCTACTAGTTAAATAAAGGTTAAATAAAAAATGAAATAAAAGTTGGCTGGATGTCCTTTGGGTGGTGGCCCATTCTTGATACACACAGGAAACTGTTGAGCGTGAAAAACCCAGCAGCGTTGCAGTTCTTGACAAACTCAAACTACCATTCCCTGTTCAAAGGCATTTCAAACTTTTGTCTTGGCCATTCACCCTCTGAATGACACAAATACACAATCCATATCTCAGTTGTCTCAAGGCTTAAAAATCCTTCTTTAACCTGTCTCCTCCCCTTCATCTACACTGGTTGAAGTGGATTTAAAAAGTAACATCAATATGGGATCATAGCTTTCATCTGGATTCACCTGGTCAGTCTACGTCATTGAAAGAGCAGGTGTTCCTAATGTTTTATACACTCAGTATATACTTTAAGGATTAATTATGCAAATTAAATGTCAGGTCAATATTGATAAGTCTAAAGTGTCTGCTTTGTGTCAGTAAACACATTTAATTAATATGGCCCATATGAGGGACTTTATTAGACTACATTTTCATTTGATAAATTATAGATTATATAACTAATCAGGATTGACTTGATTTAGTTACACATTTCAAATATGGAGAGCATAGGGATATTTCACCCCCGGTCTTGATAAGAAATTACTATACTTTTTAAAGACACATTGTAATCAACGGATTAAATAAATTAGAGGCTGCACCAATATGAGTTTCCATTCATACAACATGTAGGGTAAATTACCACAGTAGATTTGCCTTGGTAAATGAGAAAATGATTTATGTATTCTGAAAGTTATTTATCTTGAAAACTTGATTGCTGACAAGAAAAACATTTTGGGACTAGATCAACAATGGACTAATGAAACAAATACCAAAAGATAGTTTTTGGGTGGAGTTTTCCTTTAAAGAGCAGTAAATCATTGGTCAATTTGGATGCAATTGAGATCAGCAGTGCAGGTCTAGGAGCAACAAAGGTTCAGCCGCGAAGTGGTAGGCCACACAAGCTTACAGAACGGGACCGCCGAGTGCTGAAGTGTGTAGCGCGTAAAAATCGCCTGTCCTCGGTTGCAACACTCACTACAGAGTTCCAAACTGCCTCTGGAAGCAACGTCAGCACAATAACTGTTTGTCAGGAGCTTCATGAAATGGGTTTCCATGGCTGAGCAGCCACACACAAGCCTAAGATCACCATGCGCAATGCCAAGCGTCGGCTGGAGTGGTGGTGTAAAGCTCGCCGCCATAGGACTCTGGAGCAGTGGAAAACGTGTTCTCTATAGTGATGAATCATGCTTCACCATCTGGCAGTCCGATGGACGAATCTGGGTTTGGCGGATGCCAGGAGAACGTTACCTGCCCAAATGTATAGTGCCAACTGTAAAGTTTGGTGGAGGAAGAATAATGGTCTGGGGCTGTTTTTCATGGTTCGGGCTAGGCCCCTTAGTTCCAGTGAAGGGAAATCTTAACACTACAGCATACAATTACATTTTAGACGATTCTGTGCTTCCAACTTTGTGGCAACAGTTTGGGGAACACCCTTTCTTGTTTCAGCATGACAATGCCCCCATGCACAAAGCGAGATCCATACAGAAATGTTTGTCGAGATCGGTGTGGAAGAACTTGACTGGCCTTCACAGAGCCATGACCTCAACCCCATCGAACCCCTTTGGGATGACTTGGAATGCCGACTGCGAGCCAGGCCTAATCATCCAACATCAGTGCCCTACCTCACTAATGCTCTTGTGGCTGAATGGAAGCAAGTCCCCATAGCAATGTTCCAATATCTAGAGGAAAGCCTTCCCAGATGAGTGGAAGCTGCAGCAACTCCATTTTAATGCCCATGATTTTGGAATGAGATATTCGACGAGCAGGTGTCCACATACCTTTGGTCATGTAGTGTATTACACAATGGCTAATCTAAGAACGAATGCCTATTGTAATCAGATATAAATCAGCACCACTGTTAATTGTAAATATCACAGTCACTTTCTCATTACAGATTAGGTTGGATTGATTCTATGGCTATTGATAGCTCTGAAAATATTTTGGTTAATTCCTGTTATGCCCCCTTTCACTCATTAAACCGGATGCCCTGAAGCAAGGTAACATTTAATTTTTTTTGCCCTGTTTGGCTGTTTGGCCTCTACACACAGAGATGAGCTTGCTCTGCTAGGAGCTGGCTGGGTTCTTGGCGTTTCATACACAGACCCACATTTAGTTCAGTCTCTCTCCATTAACATATGCGTCACACAGTATCACTTCCAGTTTCCCCCACGGTGGCCCGGCAAACCAGGTCCCATGTGCCATCTCCCTAAAGTGATCCGTTTGACTATGAGCCAAAATGAACAGAATCATATAAATAAAGAACTAAGCGGAGCAGAATTGCGATGGCGCATTAAACCTTTTCACACCTGTCTGCCTTTCAGAGGAGTTCCAGAACTTTGTACGGAGACTCCCGACGTTCTACGCCCTCAACACATCTGCCATCCAGTACTTCTGGAAAATGGAGCCTGCCGTCCATCAGCGCTACAGACAGCTAGAGCTCAGCAGCAGACAGCTTATCGCCAAATCCAGACGGATCGTCAACAAACTCTTCACCCTCAGCAAGAGGTGCCGGACACAGCTGACAGTCATTGTGTTGAGAAAGAGGTGAGAACATGTTATGATAAATGATAAACATTTCCTGTGAGGAGTGGTTGTTTAGTCATAATATCTGTTCAGATGGACATACAGACAGTACTGTAAGGAGATCTGAAAAAAATACAATCAATCAATGGGAGATATTGTAGGTAAAGTATTTATTTTTAGGGCAATCTCAGTAGAAATGGTACAAATAGACGTTCAAGACCCTCGTAAGACAGCATAGTAAAATAGGATGTATTGTAAAAGGAAATAGTAAAATGGTGGTGTACTGGGTGTTACGTTCTCCCAATTAGAAACCAAAAATAGTCGCTGAACAGAAAAAGGGAACTAACAAATGAGCCACTGACAACCAAAAGAAAAAAGGTGGGGTTTTAAAATGGGTTCTGAAAGGCAACCATGTGTGCTGGCCAAGCAAACTTGAGTAGGGTCTTAACACCCACCATGGATGCCCACTAGATTCCCATGATAGACAAATTAAAGGAAAAGAAAACCCCCACCAATTTAAGGTAGGGAGTAAAAACAAACATGAAGCAAACCAAACAGGGGAGACACAAGCACTGTGCGAAAAGGGACCATAATCAGGGGATATCTTTACATGACATGTTTTTGATATTCTACAGAATACAGACAATTTCCAATGCATATTTTGAGTGTTGTGGACATCCTGAAAATTTCGGAATCCAGATGTGCCTTTTAGACATGTATGATATTGGGATTACTCTGAATATCACACATGGACATTTCCTATGGCCGGATATGTACTCATTCAATGTCCTGAGATATGTGACATCCTCTTTCTTCTCTTCATGTTGACAAATACTGACTGTATACATTGCATATGTGTTTTCTCAGCACATTCAAGATATGAAACTATATTGATTCCAGATATGCTTCTCTTGGCTGTCCATATCTGGATCTTGATATGCTTTTTGATATGCTGAAAATAAGGATGATTTCTGATGCATTTCTGAGTTTTCACCACATGCTCAATAATTTGACAAATATTAAATCAATATTTTTCTTTCATACACAAATCACTTTTGGATTCCCTCTGGATTTCTCTATATGATGACAAATACTGACAGTAGGCCTACATAGTATATTTTCTCAGCACATACAATGCATAGGCTCTTGACTGAGATCCATATCAGGATCTTGATATGAATTTTGATATGCTTAATAAGGACAATTCCTGATGCTTATTTGAGTTTTGAGGATATGCTCAATAATTGGACAAATATTAAATCCATGTAATTCTTTCAGACACTAGCTATGATTTTTTATTCCTTCTTGATAAAGGCACCCGCAATCCGCAAGCTAAAAAGCACAGTAACTGGTAGCCTAGCAACAAGAATCACTTATTTTCAGAGTTCCAATTGTCATTTTTGAATTTGGGTGCCACAAATGAGTGTGTAAACGGTGTATGGTTGAACTGACAACTGGAGAAACAAGGACGTGAGAATCTGTTCAGAAAATACTTCAAAGAAGTTAATGCTAAAGTGAGTAGCTAATTTGAGATGTTTTATTTATCTTAGTAACTAGAATCAAGAATGTTGATTAATTTGGCCAGCAGCTAGTAGAGCTAGCTAGCTAGGCTTGATAGGGGAATAAAATATAAGCTAGCTAGCTAACTAACTTAGCTAGCTAACTAACTTAGCTAACTAGCAACTTGGCTAGCTAGTTAGTTAGTTAGTTAGTTAGTTAGTTAGTTAGTTAGTTAGTTAGTTAGTTAGTTAGTTTTCTCGTCATGAATGAAGCAAGTAGAGTAGCTACATTATATATACACATGTTTGTGGAAACCCCTTCAAATTAGTGGATTCAGCTATTTCAGCCACACCCGTTGCTGACAGGTGTATAAAATCGAGCACACAGCCATGCAATCTCCATAGACAAACATTGACAGTACAGTGGCTTACAAAAGTATTCACCCCCCTTGGCATTTTTCCCACTTTGTTGCCTTACAACCTGGAATTAAAATAGATTTTTGGGGGGTTTGTATCATTTGATTTACACAACATGCCTACCACTTTGAAGATGCAAAATATTTTTTATTGTGAAACAAACAACAAATAAGACAAAAAAACGGAAAACTTGAGCGTGCATAACTATGCATAACTATGTCTCTATAAGCTTGGCACATCTAGCCACTGGGATTTTTGTCCATTCTTCAATGAAAAACTACTCCAGCTCCTTCAAGTTGGATGGGTTCCGCTGGTGTACAGCAATCTTTAAGTCATACCACAGAATCTCAATTGGATTGAGGTCTGGGCTTTGACTAGGCCATTCCAAGACATTTGGACATGACAAGACATGCTTTAGCAGTGTGCTTAGGGTCATTGTCCTGCTGGAAGGTGAACCTCCGTCCCAGTCTCAAATCTCTGGAAGACTGAAACAGGTTTCCCTCAAGAATTTCCCTGTATTTAGCGCCATCCATCATTCCTTCAATTCTGACCAGTTTCCCAGTCCCTGCCGATGGAAAAACAGCATGATGCTGCCACCACCATGCTTCAAAGTGGGGATGGTGTTCTCAGGGTGATGAGAGGTGTTGGGTTTGCGCCAGACATAGCGTTTTCCTAGATGGCCAAAAAGTTCAATTTTAGTCTCATCTGACCAGAGTACCTTCTTCCATATGTTTGGGGAGTATCCCACATGCCTTTTGGCGAACACCAAACGTGTTTACTTATTTTTTTCTTTAAGCAATGGCTTTTTGTCTGGACACTGTTCCATGAAGCCCAGCTCTGTGGAGTGTACGGCTTAAAGTGGTCCTATGGACAGATACTCCAATCTCCGCTGTGGAGCTCTGCAGCTCCTTCAGGGTTATCTTTGTTGCCTCTCTGATTAATGCCCTCCTTGCCTGGTCCGTGAGTTTTGATGGGCGGCCCTCTCTTGGCAGGTTTGTTGTGGTGTCATATTCTTTCCATTTTTAAATAATGAATTTAATTGTGCTCCGTGGGATGTTCAAAGTTTCTGATATTTTTTATAACCCAACCCTGACCTGTACTTCTCCACAACTTTGTCCCTGACCTGATTGGAGCACTCCTTGGTCTTCATGGTGCCCCTTGCTTAGTGGTGTTGCAGATTCTGGGGCCTTTCAGAACAGATGTGTATATATACTGAGATCATGTGACAGATCATGTGACACTTAGATTGCACACAGGTGTACTTTAATTAACTAATTATGTGACTTCTGAAGGTAATTGGTTTCACCAGATCTTATTTAGGGGCTTTATAGCAAAGGGGGTGAATACATACAGTGGGGGGAAAAAGTATTTAGTCAGCCACCAATTGTGCAAGTTCTCCCACTTAAAAAGATGAGAGAGGCCTGTAATTTTCATCATAGGTACACGTCAACTATGACAGACAAATTGAGAGAAAAAAATCCAGAAAATCACATTGTAGGATTTTTTATGAATTTATTTGCAAATTATGGTGGAAAATAATTATTTGGTCACCTACAAACAAGCAAGATTTCTGGCTCTCACACACCTGTAACTTCTTCTTTAAGAGGCTCCTCTGTCCTCCACTCGTTACCTGTATTAATGGCACCTGTTTGAACTTGTTATCAGTATAAAAGACACCTGTCCACAACCTCAAACAGTCACACTCCAAACTCCACTATGGCCAAGACCAAAGAGCTGTCAAAGGACACCAGAAACAAAATTGTAGACCTGCACCAGGCTGGGAAGACTGAATCTGCAATAGGTAAGCAGCTTGGTTTGAAGAAATGAACTGTGGGAGCAATTATTAGGAAATGGAAGACATACAAGACCACTGATAATCTCCCTCGATCTGGGGCTCCACGCAAGATCTCACCCCGTGTGGTCAAAATGAACGGTGAGCAAAAATCCCAGAACCACACGGGGGGACCTAGTGAATGACCTGCAGAGAGCTGGGACCAAAGTAACAATGCCTACCATCAGTAACACACTACGCCGCCAGGGACTCAAATCCTGCAGTGCTAGACGTGTTCCCCTGCTTAAGCCAGTACATGTCCAGGCCCGTCTGAAGTTTGCTAGAGTGCATTTGGATGATCCAGAAGAGGATTGGGAGAATGTCATATGGTCAGATGAAACCAAAATATAACTTTTTGGTAAAAACTCAACTCGTCGTGTTTGGAGGACAAAGAATGCTGAGTTGCATCCAAAGAACACCATACCTACTGTGAAGTATGGGGGTGGAAACATCATGCTTTGGGGCTGTTTTTCTGCAAAGGGACCAGGACGACTGATCCGTGTAAAGGAAAGAATGAATGGGGCCATGTATCGTGAGATTTTGAGTGAAAACCTCCTTCCATCAGCAAGGGCATTGAAGATGAAACGTGGCTGGGTCTTTCAGCATGACAATGATCCCAAACACACCGCCTGGGCAACGAAGGAGTGGCTTCGTAAGAAGCATTTCAAGGTCCTGGAGTGGCCTAGCCAGTCTCCAGATCTCAACCCCATAGAAAATCTTTGGAGAGGGTTGAAAGTCTGTGTTGCCCAGCGACAGCCCCAAAACATCACTGCTCTAGAGGAGATCTGCATGGAGGAATGGGCCAAAATACCAGCAACAGTGTGTGAAAACCTTGTGAAGACTTACAGAAAACGTTTGACCTGTGTCATTGCCAACAAAGGGTATATAACAAAGTATTGAGAAACTTTTGTTATTGACCAAATACTTATTTTCCACCATAATTTGCAAATAAATTCATAAAAAATCCTACAATGTGATTTTCTGGAAAAAAATTTCTCATTTTGTCGGTCATAGTTGACGTGTACCTATGATGAAAATTACAGGCCTCTCTCATCTTTTTAAGTTGGAGAACTTGCACAATAGGTGGCTGACTAAATACTTTTTTCCCCCCACTGTATGCATGCACCACTTTTCCATTATTCCTTTTTTAGAATTTTTGAAAAAAAGTTTTTAATTTCACTTCACCAATTTGGACTATTTTGTGTATGTCCATTACATGAAATCCAAATAAAAAATCCATTTAAATTACAGGTTGTAAAGCAACAAAATAGG